CAGAAGAAATGTCTGCCTTTCTTATACAGCCTCATCAGTCGAAGGAATGACAAGCACATTAGAAGATCTATCTACAGAAAATCAACACGGTCCTCCCAATTCCTTCACTTCACCAGTTACACACCAGTGCGATACAAGCGGACCCTTGTGAAATCTTGTAGTGCTAGACGAATTCTCTTGGATGATTGCTTAACCAACTACTTAGAGTTAATTACATCAACATATTCGTGTGCGAATGCAGAGAGAGTTACTTAGGCAGAACCAACCTGTGGTTGAATTCCAAATAAGGTGATACGCACAAATGTGGCTTCAAAGCGAAATTGATAAACATCCCTGTGCAACTGAAGTCCGGTGCTTGCGCAAGACGCCAGCTTCCACAATAGGTAAAGGATAGAGATTGAATCAACGTTCACAATTGTGTCACATCACCCTAATCCACGCTTCCTCCGTTTCGCCGAGTCCATTGCGATAATGCGGATGGAGTCGGCCGTGTGGGTACAAAAGGAGTTATTTTTCAGTTTAAGACTGCCGTGGATTAGGGGTGGAATTTCCGTCATTCATTTTGCACCTCATACGTATTCGGTCACACCCATAGTTAAGTATATAGTTGCATACCGGTCAATGTTGATGGTACTGAGGCGACATTACGAAATGCATGCATCTACCGGCCTTGGTCTGCTCACCTTTCTTCACAAGTCTGGCTTGTGTTGATGGTATGTCTGAATTCGGTAGCTGTCGAAATGACCGCAGTTGTCATGCTCTGCAACTCATCCGCGTTGTGTGCGAACGACTGCCAACCGAAGGAAGGGACAGCATCCTGGTGGATGTTTCGCGCATAATGGTAATCGCCTCGAAATTACGGGTTTCCGACAGCCCGCCATCCATACAGCTTTCGAAACGGGCACCGTACTCAAAAGTATTGAAAGCACAAGGCAACTCGGTATTTAGATAAAGAGTACATATTTTAGGGTCCAAGACGCAGTCTGAATTCACACAAAAGTTATTATCAATTTAATCCGATGCTTGTTAAAACTGCTTCATCCTGGCCCGCGGTAATTGTTAAGACATTCAAATAAACTTTCAAACCTACTAGAACAACCAAACTTGTCAAACACTTGATATATTGCATCGCAGTTTACTCTGACAAATGCCTTGGTGACGTCCGTAAAGTGCAAGTACTTTCACTGTTGTCCATCTCAGCATTTGTCCCACATTTTCCAGCGGCAAACACCTTACCTATAATGATGCGGCAAGAACGGAATACAGATGCTTATCCGCCACATCCTGTAAAACGACCTGAATGATAAGGTGGTCGCCAACATTATCCTCACCATCCTCATCAGCATAGTCATCATCATAATCTTTAGCACAATCATCCTCATAAAATTCGACACTGCCATTGTATTCAGCATCATTGTTATCATCATGTTCATTATCATCAACAACCGTTCACCAACATCATCGTCGCCATCATAATCATCAACATCCTCATCTTCACCATCATCATCATCATCGACATCATCATCAACCTCATGATCCTCGTCATCATCATCATCATCACCATCATCATCATGATTTTCATCATCATCATTATCCTCATCATCAACATACTCAGCATCAAAATCCTCATTAACTTCGTCGTAAACATCCTCATCCTTATCGTGATCATGATCATCGAGAACACTATCATCATCCTCAAAGCGGTTCTTATCATCATCATTACTCTTTATACACATCAGCTAGAGGTGGGAAAACACCTCCGCTATTTTGCCGCAATACATGAAGTAAATACATATATACCTACATATTATACAATGCCCAAAAAATTAGATACAAAAGTTGCATGCCAGCTGAGCTACCAGTAACGGATAAGCATCGTTCCGGTAAGCTTCCAGCCAGCTATTATGCAAAAAGAAAAAAAAGGTATTATGTTTTACCCTAGGAAATGTGATCGTTGTTGGAGGGGAGGCTAAAAGTGATGGGTAGGGACAAAGAAACTCATAGCACAAACGCCACTGAGGTCGGCTCCTTGCCATGTCAGCAAGTGTATCCAGAAAAGCGTGTTCACCGTCTTTCGGACCCTAACCACGAAGCCGTGACTCTCAAACAGAGGCTAGCTCCAAAGTGAGGGACTTCATCCCCCTGGACCAAGTCATAGCTTGGCCATCTCTCCGCTTCTTCCACCCACATCCCCGGTGAGCAAACAACGCACGTTGAGGGAGTCGGTGAATTGGCATGCGTAACACGTGGCCGAGCCATCGGAGCATGGTGCGGGAAATAACGGTGCTGAGCGCTTCAGATCCCTTTCCTGGGCCGTAAACAATGCGTCGAACACGCTCGTTACTAAAGCGGTGTTCCCACCAAATGTGAGCCAAACTGCGAAGGCACCGATGGTCGAACGTAACTAGCCTCTTCATGTCCGCCGACCTTAGGGGCCAGGTTTCGCAACCCTACAGTAAGGTCGAACGTACCGCTGCACTGTACACTCTACCCTTCAGGG